GAAAATCATTTAGTAAAGACAATGGATAATGCTTGTTTTAGCCTTGCTACCCCGAGGCTCGTCGGGCTCTGGTTGTCCTGATGGTCCAGTTCTTGAGATGTGCCCCTCTGGATCTTGTGAAGTAAGATGATGATGCTAGAGTGCACGAACTAACCTTTTGGGGAGGGGAATAAAAAAAATAAAAACAAAAATAAAACAAAGTCAGTAAGGATTATAAAAAGTATTGCAATATTTAAACACATAGTGCGGGAATGTAAAGCGTGTCCTAATTTGGGGAACCTCTTTTGTGCCCGAGGTAGGCCTAGCGACAAATTGATTTGGAGAACTTAGAATGCTAAATGCCTCATTTTATTGATAAAAGATAGGCGAATCCCAAAACGACATTAGATAAGCAAGAAATAAAAGTCACTAATGACCATTGGCCTTATTACATTCATAAAGCGAAAAAGGTAAACTCCTATCTATTTGACTTCCTGTCTGAGTTATGTAATTAATCACTTCAATGCCAATGTTTCAAAGCTTTTCTCATAACTGAGTGTGTCAGAGTTCCCTAAGGACCTCGAGGGATCCCGGGCAGTGCTCACACCCAGATTTGCATAACCAAACAGAATGAGTGCAGTGTGGAAGGGCCAACCCTTGTGTGTCTGAGATCAGAGGGAGCTCAAGGGTCCCAGGGCAAGGCTCACACAAGAGGGGCAGAACCTAGATTCTAAGAGTATAGTGGAAGTGCAGAACATATTTTGAAAAGGATTCATCAAAACTGGGTTGGAAATAGTAGGTGGTAAGGGTGATTCGAAAACAATTGTAGTAGTGAAACTCAAACTACACAGAATCAGTAGCCATTCAAAGGGGCAAGGGATTGTGGGGATACATTGCATGACCCCAGCAGGGGGTCTGGTTTGGTCATGCACAGCAATAGCTGATGCTGGCATGGCCACAAACCATCCAAAGGAACACATATAAGGGATATGGGGGTTTGGGATTCATAAGGTAGCAAGTACACGACAAGTGACTGACAGAGTACACATATAGGAAAGCATTAATTTAAAAGGGGAAGGGAACATATCACAGCATGCTAGTAGTGTAACTTGACTGCAGAAACATAAGCAGAAGTAGACAAGAATGAGAAACTGAAGCAACTTAAAGAAGCATGTTGTTGTTGAGACTTAAAAAAATTAACTAGGACATACCAGTAGAGAAGCAAAGTGCAGAAAGGTGAAGCAAGCAAGATTCCACAGTCTAGCCTTGGCTTTCAACCGGCTAGACAAAGCAATAGCACAAGGTAGTAGTAAAGAAAGAGAGAGTTTTTCGAGTGTAAGTGTGTGTTCTGGACTTAAAATTGTCCGTCTGTTTAAAAGAAGAGAGGGTAGGGTATTTATAGTTTTGAAAACGTGTGAAGAATAAGGTAATAAGTAAAGTTTCAACACAAACATGAAAACAATCACAATCAGATTCAATTAACATAAGTGATTCCTTTTAATTAAGGAATCACTGCTTAACGGATACTAACATGTTTAATTAAGGAAAGAAATCAGTTTGGGGACAGATTGATTATTGCCATATAAGGGGGCAGTAAAAGTATGAAAAAAAAATGACTGAGTCTAAGTACAAAAATATGCTTAATTTTGGGAAAAGATTCAAGGTAAAACATCACAGTAATTAATGGAAGGGAATCAATCAACTTAAACAAACGAATAAAATTAGGGTTCATAAGAAAACCTTTTGCAATCAGTAGCAACATTGAGGGGGTCAGAATCAATCAAGAAAGGATCATGATTCTACACCTCAGCCTATAAATTGCAAGGAATGAACAGGCATGCAGGGTCAAACATATCGACAAAAGAAGCAACATAAACATACAGTAGCAGTTGGGGTAAGCTAGGGTTCAGTAGTAAAAGAGACCTATTCGAAGCACGGTAGTCAAGTAGGTCAAGCAGTCACATAGAATCAAAAGTGAAGAAGAACATAGTAATAGGTAAGAGAGTCAGAAACAAGTAAAGGTCTCACGGTAACAAGTGAGGAAAACCTTTTAAGAAATTAGGGTTTCAACAATAGTCGAGTTTAAAAGATGGTAAGACCTCAGAATCAGATAAGTCAAACAAGACAAAAAGATTCAACCGCAAAGAACTTAATCGAACCAAACCTGCGTATAAAATAAACCAAGAGAGTTTCAGAAGCCCAAGTAGAGCCAAAACACTTAGGGCTTTTAGCATTGATGAACCAAGTAGCAGCAAACATGGACAAACATAGTAAAAATCATAAAAACACACTGAAAATCGGAGAAAAGTTTAGGAAACCCTAATCGTTAGAAAAAATGGAGAGTCATTTTGACAGAAAAATCGAAGAACCTTCGAGAAGCTCTTAAGAAGTTCGTAATAAGCACAGATCTAAGATAGATCTGAAAGAAAAATTGAACAGCTCTTAGAGCTAGGGTTTCAAAGAACCCAGAGAAAGTGAGAAAGGCATTAAAAGATATCGATCTAGCCGGAAGAGTCAAGGATCTAACTTGAACAACCATGGATGGCCGGAGAAAGACCAGAGATCGAAGTCGAGCAAGGACTGGATCAGATCTCTTCGAGATTTGTCCATGGAATCATGAAAATATGTAGCCAGCAGACATAGGAGACGAGTACACGTCTCAAAATGCCATGGGAGACCATGGATTAGGTGGGGATTGAGGTGGATTAGGATGGAAGTGGTGGCGGCGGCTAGGGTTTATGTGAGGCTGCAGAGAGAATTGAGAGAAGAGGGATTCAAGGGCGGCGTTTGGTGGAAAATGAATTAGGGTAAGGGGTCGTTTAGGTTTATTTTAGGAATGGTGAACATTTAGATCAACGGCCTAGATTAAAAGGGTAGGTGGGGAATCCAGGTTTGGGTTGGTTTAAATTGGGTTGGGGTCGGGTTTAATTGAAATTGAGCAGGGAAATTGGGTCTGATTTGGGGTTAATTTTAGGCTAAAATTTAAAGACAAATGGGCTGTTATTTAAATATCCAATTTTCCCTCTTTTGAATTATAAAAAATTGTAAATGAATTTCTGAGAATAAATTGAAAGCACTAAAATGATTCACAGCATGTAAATAACAATTTAAAAATATAGGGCTTAATTTTATGAATATAAAACACAATTAAATCGTAAAAAGGCTAATATTGCAATTATATGCAATTAGCTTTAAAAAATACTAAATAAAATTGTAAAAATATGCAAAAATTACCTTAGCCATATTTTGGAATAAATATAAAGATCCAATAAATGAATCATCAAAAATAATAATTTTGGACATAATTATTGGGATTTTATGGATGAAAAAAGGAAATAAATCGATTTAAACCTTTAAAAATTATGAAAAAATAATAAAACATTTGGACATACCTATATATGCATATATAAGTTATTTTGAAGGTATTTTTCATATTGAAAAAATGTACAGGGAAAAATTGGGTGTCAACACTCTCTTGCTATTTCACTTACTGTTCATCAAAGTTGTTTTATCGTTTGTTATTCCTATCTTCATACCTCGAGACTGTCACAGGTTGAGGTCGAGGTTTAGCTTAAATACTGGTTTGATTTACTTTATTCTTTAACTTATCTATTTAATTCCATGTTTATCAATTGACATTGAATTAAATCACATATCCTTAAAACCACAATACAAGTTTAATTGTTAGTCGAATTTTAGGGTAAACAAGCTCCATAATCTGTTGTTACCGTGGCAATTATTTTTCTACGTCTATAAGTACAAAAACCTTCCCTTTACTTCTTATTTTTCAATCCTTGGAATACTGTTCTTACCGAAATTTGCAAATTTTTTAAAGTCTTATGTAGTTTCATCTGTAATTTTTGCTTAGTAGATAGAAATTATTCAACATTAAAGCCATGGAATCCCAGAACCACAACCTTCTATGAACTACTATCCCTGCTTCACAAAGTCCCGGTACCACCGTGAGGCGTACCACCATATTTTGCGAGTTCTAGAAGAGGAAAAAATATACTAGTATTGACCATCCAGAGTCTCCGGATAGGTGACCAAGTATCCGAAAAATCTGCAATCTCCGAATAAGATGATCAGCAGATCAACAGCTGCTGAAATATCCGAGAATCGATGATAATTCTTTGGCATTAATTCTTTACCAGTTGCATATCATTCAAGCGTAATGTACAAGCTGGCTAAATAATGTTCGTAATGGACAAGCCCAATTCTAGGGTACAGTTACACTTGCTTTGTAATATAAATACTCTCAAGTTTCCTCATTTATACCCAATTCCGATTCAAATACAAAAAACTCTAAGAACACTTACTATTATGTTCATTACGCACCAGTCTTGTTCATCAACTTCCTTCTAGTCAAGGATAATTGAATGAGAATCATATCTCTTTTACTTTCTTATCATTTCAATGCTTATCCTTACATTCATCTCTTCTGTTTATCCATTTTTTAATCGAATCGATTGCATGTGTCCTAATTTTACAAATTTAATTTCTTTAGGCTAATAATTAAGTTTTAGGTTAAACACGTACAAGAATTATAACCACGTATCAGAAATAGCATGAGATAGGTAATTGTAAATATAAATGAAATGCCTGTAGGAGCGTAAAGATACCCATTACTATATTGGGAAATCTCAAACAACCTATTTAGTTACGTATAATTGTACAGATTAATTAAAGATAATCATTTTTCGAAGAACCATAAAGAATGAAAAGATTTTAGAAAGTACAATAGCACTATGATTAATGATATGTAATCCTAATTATCAGTTAGATGAGGTGAAATATAATTATAATCTTTATCGAACTGATCCCACTATAATATAATAGCTTCTTATTATATATGGTGAACATCTATATATAAAAAAAAAAAAAAAAAAAAAAAAAAAAAAAAAAAAAAAAAAAAAAAAAAAAAAAAAGTCAGAAGCAGAACCGAAAGAGAAATTTAAGAAAAGAAACAAAAGGAAAGTCATCATACTCTATTATTACCAATATTATCTGAAGTGTGTAGTCTAACATCCCCTCAAGCTGGAGTGCGGAATTTGCACGACTCCAAGCTTGGTTCGGTGCGACTGAAACTGAAATTTAGACAGGGGTTTTGTCAATATATCAGCAACCTGAGACATGGAAGGAATGAACTTTGTCACCATAGCTCCTTGGACAACTTTTTCCCGGACAAAGTGATAATCAAGTTCAACATGTTTGGTGCGAGCATGTAAGACTGGATTAGGCCTGAGATGTAATGCACTGATGTTGTCAGTAAACAATACTGGAGGCTGAGATAGAGAGATGCCAATGTCCTTCAAAATGTAGGTAACCCACGTAACTTCAGCAGCAAGAGAGGCCAAGGACCTGTATTCAGCTTCGGCGCTGGATTTTGCAACTGTGTTTTGCTTTCTAGAGGACCAAGATATGCAATTCGATCCTAGAAAAACACATAGACCTGATGTGGACCTGCGAGAAAGTGGGCAGCCAGCCCAATCTGCATCCGAAAACCCAACTAGATTTAGAGAAGATTGAGCAGAGATGCGTAATCCAAGCTGAGAAGTTCCTGCGATGTAATGAAGGACTCGTTTAACTCCAGACCAATGAACTTCAGTTGGACTTTGCATAAACTGGCAAAGAAGATTTACTGAATGAGAAATTTCGGGCCTGGTAAGGGTGAGGTATTGGAGAGCTCCGACAATGCTCCTATATTCAGATGCATCGACTAAGGCACCAGTAGGGTCATGTAAAGCATGCTTCTGAGATAGAGGAGTATTCAAAGGTCTAGCAGCGAGCACATTGGTCCTTTGAAGAATATCCAAGGCATATTTATGTTGACTAAGAAAAAGCCCATCTTTGGTTAGGGTAGCCTTAATTCCAAGAAAGTAATGTAAATCTCCCATATCCTTCATTGCAAACTTGGAACTGATCAGCTGGATGAGGATATTAATCAGTGAGGAATGGTTGCTTGTGAGGATGATATCATCGACGTACAAAAGAAGCAGAAGGGTGCCCTTTGAAGAGTGCAACACAAACAGTGAGGGGTCTGCTTTGCTACAAGAGAAGCCAAGATGTAAAAGGAAAGAACTAAACTTATGAAACCATGCCTTCGGCGCTTGTTTGAGTCCATAAAGAGCTTTCTTTAGCCGACAAACATGGTGTGGAAAAATTAGATCTTTAAACCCCGGGGGCTGCTCCATGAACCCAATTTCCTTTAAGTCTCCATGTAAAAAAGCATTTTTCACATCGAGTTGTCAAATGGGCCAATTGAGAGTAGTTGCAATGGACAAAACAATGCGGACAGTCGTTGCCTTTATCACCGGACTGAACGTATCTTCAAAATCGACTCCTTCGATTTGATTATAACCTTTAGCAACAAGTCGCGCTTTGAGACGTTCCACAGACCCATCTGCTTTTAGTTTGGTCTTTAACACCCATTTGGACCCAATAACGTTCATGTGCGGCTGACGAGGAACTAGAACCCATGTTTCATTTTTGCGCAAGGCTTGAAGCTCCTCATGCATAGCTGATACTCAGTAAGGTCGAGACAATGCAGCTTTGATGGTATTTGGTTCTTTTGTGTCTAGCATCGTGGTCGCTGTAAGAACTTCAAAGGTAGGATTCTGTATTAAACTAGTTTTTGCTCGTGTGAGCATATGATGGGTATTTGATGGGCTTTGGGGTCGAGATGGTGGCATAGGTTCGGGATGAGAATTAACTTGTGAATTTGTGGTACAAGGCATGGGAGGTAAGTCAACAAAAAGTTCTATATATACCTGGTGTATTTGAGATGTCAAGGTGTGATGAATTGGATGATGAGGCAGTGGAATGGCTAGTTGAAGTGGACGAAAATGAACCTGTACTTTGTGGAGAAATTGGAGCTAAAGCCAATGGACTTTGTTCTTGTTGATTTGAATGAGTTGGAACATCCAAGTGCTCAGTTGTACAAGCAGGCAAAGTTTTGAATAATGATGGCAAAGCAAATACACCCAGTTGAGGTTGTTCATCGTTCACATTCTCCTCAAAAGAGGATGGAGCAGCAACTGAGTTAAAGAACTCTCGGAAAGTGGTAAAATGCAATGAACCAGAGTCTGCACTCAAATCAGTAGTAGGAGATTGATATTAGGCTATATAGAAGACATTTACACCTTAATATTACCATGCTTTATTGTTGTTTTATAGGCGAATTGATAACAAAATGCTCTAATTTGTGTTCTTTTGCTTCGCAAGGAATAATCCAAGTTAGGAAGCACTACGGAGTATTCTGGAGTCAATAATGTGATGAAAACGTCCAATCAAGAAGCACCCGAGCATAAAGAAGCAAAAATTGGACTGAGGTGAAATCCACCGCGATCGCGGTGGGACCGCGGTAGGACCGCGGCAGTCCACAAACGCAGGCAGAATAGTTGGCCTTCATCGCGGTCGCGCCGCGGTCGTGCCGCGGCCGCGGTGAACTGTGCAGATGCCAGAAAATTTGGTGACTAAAGTGTAACTCGGGAAAAACTTATTCCAAGCCCTTATAATCTTTAGAAGCTCGCCCAAGATTAAAAAAAAAAAAAAAAAAAGCTTGTTTTTAGACTAATTTGGAGGCAAGAACAAGTGTGAGAAGATCAACCAAACATTAGAGTTTTTCTATCTCCTTTTAATTCTTGCAATTACACATTATGATCAACTTTGTAGTTTTATCTTGTTTTGTTATGAGTAGCTAAACAATTGATCTAGGGTTGATGGAACCAATTGTTGGTTGAAGTTTTGACTCAACTTGTTATAATCGAACCGGAATTATTATATGATTGTTCAACTACGTTTTGTATGGTGATTAATTGAATGGGCTCTTGATTAATCGTGTCTAATTGCCTTATATTGCTTGAGAAAGAATATTAGGTTAGACTGCTGTTGAACAACACCACTTTTGGGTAATTGAAGAGATTCATTACTTGAATTTAAAAGTGGGTTTAGAGATAACGAAACTTTGGTGGAATAATATAGAGTTGCACATATTGTCAGCTAGAGTAGTTCGAGAGAATGCTCTAGTAAATTATTGTGTTTGATCGAGAGATAATTACGATAACCCATAACTCATAATATTCATAGAGTATTACGGCGAGATTATAGCAAAAGAGTTAAGACCTAAACTAGCAATTGGGGAAATCAATGCCCTAGACCTTTTTACCATTGAATTATCTTCAGTTTAGCATATTGTTATTTTTGATATCATTTGAAGTAGTTAAACAAAAACCCAAGATTGATTGATAAAAATCTTGTATCGGGAAATTGGTTGAGTTGATAATAGCATTGCTAAAGAGTTGCAATAGATAGGTTAGTTCCCTGAGGATTCGACTCCAGACTTAAAACAGGATTATATTTGCAAAGACCGCTTTGTCTTTTAGAAGGCATAGTTGGGCGTGATCAAATTTTGGCGCCTGAATTAACGGTGTTATTTATTACAACTTAGAAGAAGTGTTAGAATTATTAGTTTAGATCAATTTTCGAAGGTGTTAAACAATCTTTTCATTGAAATTCTCACGTTTGAACTCTTGTGGAATTCAGGTGTATGCCTAGAAATTCTTCGAGGACTGGAGAACTACTTGAAGGACTCTCAGACCCCGAGAAAACATTCAGGGCATTGAACCGTGCTAACAAGAGGATCCAATAATCACAACAACCACACCAGCTTGAAATTGACATGGGTGACATAGAGAACGTCAACGGAAACATCGGGGCTGAGCCAGCTGCCCCAAATGTCAGAGCAATGGCACCTCTTGTGCCAGAAGCTGCACTTTATGATTGGGCACAGCCAACAGCTGACAACCTGGCTACTGCCATAGTTGTGCCCCCAATTCAAGCAGAGACATTCCAGATCACCAACAACATGCTGCATCTTCTGCAGAATAAGAGATTGTTCTCCGGGTCACACATTGAAGACCCTCAGCAACACTTGAAAAATTTTCTGTCGATTTGTGTGACCCAAAGGCAGCCTAATGTGACTCTGGAAGCTATCAAGCTATTATTATTCCCATTCTCTGTAACTGGGGAAACTCCATTGTCACCTGGGAGGAATTAGTCAAGCATTTCCTGAATAAGTTCTACCCGCCCAATAAGACTGCAAGGCAGATTGATGAGATATTGCAGTACAAGCAGCAGCCGACTGAGACCTTGCAGGAAACTTGGGAAAGGTTCAAAGGGATGCTAGTGAAGTGTCCTCACCATGGTATTCCAGACCAGATGCTCGGCCAGAGGTTCTACATGGGGTTAGCTGACAATCTAAAGGCCAATGTCGATGCTTCAGCTGGAGGTGCATTTTTGAGTAAGACATTCACCGAGTGTAAAGTCCTTGACAAGATGTCCCAGAATTCGGGGTGGATGACTAGAGGTACAACACTGGCACCCATAGTGCATTCAATTCCTCTTGACTCAAATAATTCGCATGCAGAGAACATAGCCACACTCATGACTCAGATGAGTATATTATCAAAGAAGATTGATGAGATGGGTACAAAGCAGGTGCATATTGTTGACACAACAAATGGAGGACTGTGTACACCCTATGTTAATCAGTCTTATGTGTGTTCATGGAGTGGAGAAGGTGACAATCAAGGGGTAAGAGAAGATATGAATTATGTCAACAACTTTGGGGGTCAGAGACAAGAAGGACAGCAGTGGAGACCGGCACCAAATCAGCAATACAGACCAAACATGCCACAGCCTGGAGGTATGCAACCCCAAGGCCAAATGGTACCAGTACCATATCAGAGACAACAGGGTTATCCACAGTAAAATCAGCAGCAGTTGACATATCAGCCACCTCCTCAGCAACAAGATAACAACATGGTAGTTATCAAGGGTATGCTTCAACAACTCATTGGAACAAATGGTAAGATGCAGGAAAAGTTGGCAGTGCATGACTCAGCAATAAAGAACATTGAAACTCAGTTGGGGCAGCTGTCTATGGCCTTAAACAACCGCCCCTAGGGAACACTGCCAGCGGACACGAGCATTAACCCCAAGGACCAAAACCCGAATCAGTTGATGGTAGTAAGTTTCCGGAATGAGAGAGATTTAGACAGAGAGCAGGAGATTGCACAAGCCAGCAAAGAGACTACGCCAGCCACTCCAGTTCCATTAGAGGTAGATGAACCAGCAGAACTCACTGAAGTGGTGGTTGAACAGGTTCAAGACGATAAGGGTAAAGCTAAAGAGAGTGAACAAGTTGCAGAACAGGTGGTACCTCTTGTGCCACAAAACCCCAACGGAGAGAAGCCAGCAAACAGTGCACAAAGGGTGATACCTGCACCCTTCCCTCAAAGACTGGTAAAACAAAAGAAGGAAGATCAATACAGGAAATTTATGGAGATGCTGCGTAAAATTCAGTTGAATATTCCTCAGATGGATGTCTTGAGGGAGATTCCAGGCTATGCGAAGATGATGAAGGACCTAATGTCACGAAAGTTTGATTTTCAGGACCTATCCACAGTAACTCTGACTCAGACATCCAGTGCAGTAGTGACAAGACCCATGGCTCAAAAGATGTCTGACCCAGGTAGCTTTACTATTCCATGCACTATTGGAGTTATGCCTTTGCAAAGGCATTATGTGACTTAGGAGCCAGCATAAATTTGATGCCTCTGGCTATATACACCAAACTGGGCATTGGCAGAGCTAGACCGACCTCGATGCTGTTGTAACTGGCTGACCGCACTGTTTAAAGGCCAACTGGGATTCTTGATGATGTGTTGGTACAAGTGGGGAAGTTTGTGTTCCCTGCAGACTTTGTTATTCTGGATTGTCAGGTAGATGAGTAGATACCTATCATTTTAGGGAGGCCATTCTTAGCCACTGGGAGAGCACTGATCGATTGTGAAACTGGGGAATTAAAAAGGAGGCTGAACGATGAAGAAGTCATATTCAACGTTCAGCAATCCATGAGGAGACCCAGTGAATATGCTAATTGCTCCCTAGTGGAGGCAGTGGATGTGATCTTGCACGAAGATGATGTGACCCTGACTGCTAAAGATCCATTGGAGGCTTGCCTAACAAATTTAGAGGAGATGGATGGTGAAGGGTTGGCTGAGTGGGTCATGGCACTCGAAGGCCAAGGATTCTAGAAAAGGGAACCTCAATTCGAGTCCCTTGAGTTAGAAAATAGGGCTACACCACCGGCAAAACCATCAGTAGAGGAACCACCCAAATTGGAGCTGAA